GGGATGTCTTCGGTCCTATAACACACCTGGCCGTGCCGACAAATTATCATACCGCGCTAACGCGCGGTATTTAATTTGTCTGCACGGTCAGGTGTGTTATAGGACCGAAGACATCCCAAAATATGAATTCATTGCTTATATTTACATTCTCTAATTTTCCTTTACTATATTTCTTTATTTTGTTCATATTTAATGTGAATTTAGCGCCCTTCGGTATTGGTGTGCTTAATTAACGTAATAGCCGTTCGTGACGTTGCAAAGCCGTTTGTGACGTTGGAAAGTTAAATAACGCAAATAAACATTGCAAGGAAAAAAAAAATGACAAATTAATTTGTAATGCACATTTGTTGTATTTTATGTTAATTTTAAAAGGGTAGTTTTTTTAAAATGAAATTGAGTCAAAACAATATTCATTTTGTTGTTCCTAAATTTTGAAAAAGCATGTAGTTCCTACTGTGTATTCTAACGCGCGGTGACAAGGTTTCGCGTGTGTTATAGAAATTTGAACGTCGTGAATTTCTAATGGATTTCATAAAGAAAATTACACTGAATGTAAATATTTACCTATAAAATATGAAACTTTGAAAACATGTAGCTATTTTACCTACTGTTTTGAAAAGTGCTGGGAGCAACTTGTGCGCGGATGATTTTTTCTGTAATTTTACATTGTTTCAATGTGTATAGTGCACATGCACGAGTTTATCAAAAGACGGCTAAATTTGATATAATTCCTGGGCATGGGGAAGTTGCTCCCAGCACTTTTCGGGTTAAGAAATTTGTCTTTAAGAAAACACAATCAACTTCTTGCTGAAAAATTATCCGTATATCGTTGAACTTTTATAATCTTTATGTCCGTATAATTTTTTTTCTAATTTTAACCATGTCACGTGCAAACAGCTGGTGTACGTTAGGTCGCTTGGGCCAACTCGGTTGTGACCCCATACATACATATGCATTAGTACAATAAATTCCCACTAAATTAAAACTCATGCTTATAAAATAAGAAATCAATATTATATTGATTTTCTCGCAATATTTTAAGGCACATTTCCTATGGACGTCCTTAACATAGCTGCGTTACGAACGAACGTTACCAAAAACTGGGATCAGTCATTATAGTTTATTGTATTCACGGTTGCATTATTGAATTCTTCAATTTTATTGGGATTTCGATAGATAAAATCCCCACAAGATACCTCAAAGCGAGGTCTTGGCGAAGTGGCTACCGTGACACTATAAAACATTTCAATGGACATTTAAACGAGCGAAGGGAAATGAAAGGAAAATTTAGAAAATGTCATTCTGTGGCATGAAATAAATTATTATAGTATGTGCGGATCTAGTAAGGGTCGAAAGGGGGGGGGGGTTACTTTACGAACGGCGGTGGGGACAATAAAGAGTTATGGTCTGAGACTAAATTTCAAAAACCCCAAAACTTTAAAGAAATTCTTGTTCAAAATACTATATGTTGCGAATAATAAAATTAGTATGGCTTTAATACACAGGTATTATAGCCATTATAGTATAAATCTAGGGGAATGCCCGTTCGGTTGATAAAGCTTCTTCTTAAAAACATGTATCTTAAAAATCTTCATATAATTCTCACGGGTGCTAGTGGACTGGACTCTCCCCCCCCCCCCCCCCCCCCCTTAAAATCCCAGACCCAAATCTATTTTTTTAATTTTACTGTAAAAGCTGAAAGTCTTCTCGAGATATTGTTTGAAACAAAAGTGTTACAGACGGACAGAATTAATTATAAGAATGGACAGATCGAAATTAATATCCCAACTTTCAGGGGGGGGGGGGGGGAGGGTGGTGCAAAAATGGAAGTTAAGTGAATTGTGTTTTTGACATAATTTGAGATATATGAGAGCCCCCCCCCCCCAACCCCTGGAATATATATAAATCTGGGTCCAAAGATATTTTTGGCTTTCTTTCATTAATAACATTTACAATTTACAACATACAAAATTGATACCTGCAGTTTAAAAGTTATAGGTGATTTAAGATACTACAGGCATGATTTTTTAAAAAAAAAAATGAATTCTATATACTTTTTTGGATTGGTCATATGAAATACATTGTAAATATGTACTAGACGATTAATTTATGAAAGAAGACAAATGTGAATATTTTGGGACCCTGTATATATGTATATTGTGCGTGGGTATGGGGAGGTAGTATTGGTCTACAAGCAATTGTGATAAGCATATGTGTGCACGTACTTTTGAAGGATGCCATGAAACTATGACAACTACGTTTTCATAGTATTCACACTTTTAAAAGTCCGGTATCCTTTTGTTGGTATTCTAGAATCAATCTTTTTTCTTTTACAACAGGATGGTGAATACCCGGGTATATATTTTTCCTTACAAATGAAGCAAGTTATAATTTCGGTTATAGTTTTTATATGTATTTTGGACCTTCGGTCAAAAGTATAAAGTTATCTTAGAATTTTATATTTTGATAATTAATGCAGAATAAAAAAATAATGACATAGTGGAGCATAACTTGAAGACAAAGAACAGAACTTTACTAAGAAAAATGCGCCACCCTAAATAAATACACATTTTAGGCCTTTTTTATAATCCACATATATAAACAGATATACATCATGTACACACGTTCGTTTATGGGAACGGGGTTGAGGGGGTGGGAATAAGCCCCCCCCCCCCCTCACCATAATGAAGTCGATAAATAAACAAAGTAATATAATAGAAAACGTAACTACTGTTTACTTGTGCCACCTCAATAAAAAATCCTCCCAAGGAATTGTTTGGTAGTGATTCCAAAATAAAAAAAGTTTGGTTGTGCCCCCTCCCAACTGAGATTGCTTGGTTCATGCCTGTTACATAAATAAATTAAAAACAGCCCAAGATAATTTAGTTAAGATCGCCATTTAATACATCATCTATGAAGATACTGTCTACCATGAATTCTCGTTTATTTCCTTGAAGTGATATTTTAATAAATTTAAAAAAGAATTTCTCTCTCTCTCTCTCTCTCTCTCAATACAAAACAATTTAGAAAGCGCAATACCTATTTACTAGATTGCACGAATTTTTTTTACAAGCTGTAAAAAGTAACCTTTCCCCATATGAACAAGGCGCACACTACGAGTAGTTTGTAAACGTTTAATCTCTGGCGCATGACAGAAGTGTTTCCTAATCCGTCTAAAGTATTACAATGTATGGTGTATTTTCTTCTATATGTTCGCTTTTTAAAACATTGTAAGTGATTACAATTAATTTGACATGAGCAATTATCAAGTACAAAGTGGTTAAAACACTATCCGTTCTATTTTACACATATACTTATTTCTTCTGATTTTAAACTTTATATGGGTGCAATCACTGGTCCCGAGAAAACTATCGAGATACGGAAAGTTAGGGCGAGTTACGTTCGTTCGTAACCCAAACAAAAACTTTTCTTAACAAATCATGCCAAAATCACATACAAATCATATCAAACTCACAAATTCATGATTTTGAACTATGATTTAGACATGATCCATTTAATGGATCATACTGAAATCATAGGTGACAAATAAGGAAGTATAATCCTTGTGTGGTTTGTTTCTGGGGAATGAGTCTGCTATGATTTTCTTGCGATTCTGACATGTGCCATTAACTTAGAAAACAAATGAACATGAGTTTGAAATGATTCGTTAACTTTAACTGCTAAAAGTTTGTGATTTTGATATGGTTTCTTAACTTTGTCTTTAAACTCCATACGAGTTAAACATGATCTGTTAATTTCTCTGTTGAGAATCATGAGTTTTATATGATTTGTTAACTTTGTCAGAATTGGCTGTATGATCCTGATATGGTTTGTTAACTTTGTCATCTATGATAGGTGAAAATGCAAGCTTTAAATTCACTCTAGCTTGGAGAATCAAACAACATGCATACATCAATAAAAGTCTTATTTAAAAGAGAGCAGGAAAATTAAGTTTAAATAATTAACCCAGCAGGCACGCAACGTTGTTTCAACGTTGAAAGGAGGTGGAATATAGGTTGCAACGTTGATCAACTATATTTCAACGTTGTTTCAACGTTGAGGTTTCAACGTTGAATCCTCAACCTTTTTTCAACGTTGAAACAACGTTGAAGCTGCATCATATTTTCAACGTTGAATGTTCGTCGATATTTCAACGTTGAAACAACGTTGAGGCTGCAACATATTTTCAACGTTGAATGTTCGTCGATATTTCAACGTTGAAACAACGTTGAAGCTGCAACATATTTTCAACGTTAAATGTTCTTCGATATTTCAACGTTGAAACAACGTTGAGGCTGCAACATATTTTCAACGTTGAATGTTCGTCGATATTTCAACGTTGAAACAACGTTGAAAATTCAACATGTTTTCAACGTTGAGTATTTTCTGATATTGTAGAGTTAAAACAAGGTTTAAAAATGCAAAGTTGACTGACTTGATTTCAACGTTGAAACAACGTGCAAGATGCAACATATTTTCAACTTTAGGAAAGTTAGGAAAATTTAACGTTGAACAATTAAGGAGTAACGAATATTGAGCACTTTAGTTTTTAAGTTCAAAATATAAAGGTGTCTAATTTAACTCTAATCCATGCGATTTTTCGCAATATACACAAAGCTGCATGCATTGTTAGAAAATTTTATATATATAATAATTATACTTAATAAATGAAACGCATGCATTATAAATTGATTTACTCAAAAGAGTTGTGCCAATAGCTAGTACCATTATAAAATTTTGAATATGAGTTTATATGAAGCATGACATATACATTTAACACTTCATTATAATTATGTTTCAAAAAAAGTTTTTTTTCAATAAATTGTGAATGCTATTTTTTTTTTATATATCTATAAAATATGTCAAATATAAGCTGTTAATAAATAATTTAACATCTTTATCCAACATCTCACTGTAATTCCATGTTACTATAGAATTAATAGAAATAATTATTCAGAATTAGTGTTCTTAAAGTAAGACTCATATGGATCCGTGCCGTATACTCTTGCACAGATTATACATATACAGAGCGAATCTAAGAAGTCTTAAAGCTTATTTTATTAGATTTTGTTTTCAGTGTGTATTAATTCTATAATCTTTCTTTTCACAAAATATAAAAAAAATTCAAATAAACACATAAGAATTTTCACACTGACAATTAACCCCGGTCAAGTTGCATTACTTAAGATCCACTCCCCAAAAACCTTCAAGATATCAGATAAGGAGTGCCTTTCGCTTAGTTGGTCAGTTTCAGTGTCAGGATAACCTTGTTATGCAATTTTCTTGCTGGGCAGAGTATAGCTGTTTGCAGCTTATCTAGGTCAAAATTTGAATTCAACTGATGGAAAAGAAGTGCGCGTTTCTTTGCTGTTCATATTTCATGTGTTTTTGAAGCTATATACACAAGGATTAAGGCTGGAATATCAACTTCTGCTCAGTAAGTATTATTTCCTTTTCATGAATTTATGAAATAAATTTTTTTAGTATCTGTTCATCATTTCATTCTTGTTTTATAAGTATATTTGAAATCTGCGTGAAATGCACATCCTTGGTTCCTGTTATGTGTTTTGTTGATATTCATTTGGTTATGAAATATAAGCTAGTATACAGTAACTAATATTTTATACAATTTAACTAATTGTAGTTCGCTGTAAGGTTCAATCAACCAGTTATGCAGGGAATTGATTGTATAGTCAGCCTTGATTGAATCAGATTCTTCTCCCGTGAAAATTATACAAAGGAATGCAACATTTTGTAAGTACACTATGTATATGTATGTCTATAACATTTTTCTTTTAGTAATAATTATTTATAAGCATACACATACGAATTTTAACATAAAGTCAACATTAATTCTTTTAATCATGTTAATTAAATCCAAGTACCGGAATATATTCCTTTGTCTGATTTTTTTAAATCATTCATGTATATTTATTTTTATCATTTGATATAACGTGTTACATGTGTACGTACATTTTATCGAACAAATGGCTTTAACATCTTTATTTCTTTTATCAATAGGCTTTTGCTTTAGAGGGTGGATTCTCCTGTTTGTTTCTTTCATTCCTGGGACTTAACGATTTACGTGATTAAAATCAATGGATCCGCCACTTTGTGGAACTTAGTAGTGAAAAGCAGACGCGTACTTTGAAGGTCTTGGATGTGATTATTGTGACCCACTTTTCCCAAGGAATATAAATTTTGTCAAGCAGTGATTTTTGAGATTCAGTGATTGAATCCGAATTTGTGTTTGTCTTAAAAATACATGTAAAATTAATTCTCTCACAATCATAATACTTGATTACAACCTATATAAATATTACGCAACTTGAATAAATTTTTTTATTAGAATTTGAAATGTATTTGTTTATAAAGCAAAATGTAATATGAATTCAACGTGATTTCAACCAAATATCAACGTTTGTACATCCGAAAAAATTTCAACCAAATCTCAACCTAATTTCAACCAATGTTCACTTTTGTTCAATGTTGATATTTGACGTTGAAACAACGTTGAAGCTTCAACGTTGCCTCAACTTTCATTTGCAACCAAAAATCAACCATAAATCAACCAAAAATTCAACCCATTTTCAACGTTTATTCAACGTTGAAAATTGACGTTGAAACAACGTTATGTCTCAACGTTGCCTCAACTTTCATATGCAACCAAAATTCAACGTTGATTCAACGTTGAAGGGTGACGTTGAATCAACGTTGATTCAACGTTGAAATGCCTGCTGGGAAAATGCACACAGCATGTACAGGTATAGTTACAAAAACAATATTTTTTTTAAGTTGAATGAAATGACAAACAAATACAATAATTCATATTTAAATTAGCACACATGTATTTGTTTTAAATAACGCAGCCAAGATTTTATTAAAACTCTTTCTCTTCATGTAGTATTTGCGATCCACTCCCAATCTAACTTTGAGGCATTAGATTAGGATTGGATCACTGGTCAGTTTCAGAGTCATAGTAACCTTGTTATGCAATTCTCCTGCTGGGCAGACCGCTGTAGTACAGTGGTTTGCAGCTGATCTAGGTTACAATTTGAATTCTGATAAATAAGATGTGCGCGTTTTCTTGTTGCCGATTTAAAAGAAAAGCCTTTGCATCATATAAGCAATAAAAATAAGTGCTGGACTATTAACTCTAGATCTATACTCGGTGAGTATAATTCATTAATTTTATCATTGACCTTTTTTTTCATTTTCTAGTTTCTACCAGCAAGTGCATGATTTATTTTTTCTTTGTAAATGTGTAGAAGAGACATGGCAAAGCTTTACATGGATTTGAATTGAAAACTTAACTTAAGCATCAAATTGACCTCCTTGATTCAAATATTTGTTGTGCATACATGTTAATCGTTATATAAATGTTTATTTATTTAAAATGAAATTCTTTTGCAGCTACAGACATTTCCATCTTCATGATTAACATCTGAGTTGCATTCAAATTAACAAATTCAAAAGACCCGCCTTTGGTGAAGACAAAATTTGTGTATGTAAATAATATTACATTTCAACAATAGTAATCTTTTGGTGATTAATCTAATTCTTTTCACTAATGCAATGGGGAAAGTACTTAAATATTTCATATTTTGTTGATCTAAAGATAATGATATGTTGATCGATAAATTAATACCACTTTCTCTACGTTTCTTTTCAGGGTGCTGATATACACATATAAAGAGCTTATATCAGAGGATAGACTACTTCATTGGAAGCCCTTTCAGTGTTTGTGATTCTGAATAATAGATCCACCACTCCGCTGATTTTGTAGTGAACAAATGTTGTAATTATATGCTTTTGCAGAATCATACTAAGCAGTGATATCAATGAGTTCCGGATTATTCTTCAAGAAGAATGGATTTCTGTGATTCTGTTCCTATAAAAATCAGTGAATAGTTTGGATAATGTTTTATATTTAAATTGTCATCTTATTAAGGAAGATCATTTGTTGGGATTATATTTATATGACGTCATGGTTCATGTGACATATGTGTAAAATATTTTTTTTTTATTTTTGGTAACTGAAATTATTTATCAAATATTAAAGAGAACTTTATTGCAAATATCAAAGTGTTTAGTTAAATTGTATAAGAAGTCGAATTTTCCTATGAGTTGTTCAATTTAACAGATCATACCAAGATCATGATTTTGATACGAGTTGTTAGCTACAACAGATCATACCAGGATCATGGTTTTAATACGAGTTGTGAGCTACAACAGATCATACCAGGATCATGGTTTTAATACCAGTTGTGAGCTACAACAGATCATACCCGGATCATGGTTTTAATACCAGTTGTTAGCTACAACAGATCATTCCAGGATCATGGTTTTAATACGAGTTGTGAGCTACAACAGATCATACCAGGATCATGGTTTTAATAAGAGTTGTTAGCTTCAACAGATCATACCAGGATCATGGTTTTAATACCAGTTGTTAGCTACAACAGATCATACCAGGATCATGGTTTTAATACGAGTTGTTAGCTTCAACAGATCATACCAGGATCATGGTTTTAATACCAGTTGTTAGCTACAACAGATCATACCAGGATCATGGTTTTAATACCAGTTGTTAGCTTCAACAGATCATTCCAGGATCATGGTTTTAATACCAGTTGTTAGCTTCAACAGATCATACCAGGATCATGGTTTTAATACCAGTTGTTAGCAACAACAGATCATACCAGGATCATGGTTTTAATACCAGTTGTTAGCTTCAACAGATCATTCCAGGATCATGGTTTTAATACCAGTTGTTAGCTTCAACAGATCATACCAGGATCATGGTTTTAATACCAGTTGTTAGCTTCAACAGATCATTCCAGGATCATGGTTTTAATACCAGTTGTTAGCTACAACAGATCATACCAGGATCATGGTTTTAATACGAGTTGTGAGCTACAACAGATCATACCAGGATCATGGTTTTAATACGAGTTGTTAGCTTCAACAGATCATACCAGGATCATGGTTTTAATACGAGTTGTTAGCTTCAACAGATCATACCAGGATCATGGTTTTAATACCAGTTGTTAGCTACAACAGATCATACCAGGATCATGGTTTTCTTGCTAGCTGTTTAGTTTAACAGATCATCTCAGAACCATGATCCATTAGCTCATTTGCATGTGAAATTTTCCTATACCGAAATCATATCAAAACCATGATTTACACATGAGTTGTTAGCATGATCCGATAGGCTGTTTTTTTCTGTTTGGGAAGATGTCGGTGTTTCTCTATTGTGTTCTCAAACGTCTAGATATATCGACGACGAATTGTTAATTTCCAATGGTTATTTCCATTCGTATGTCCACACGATATATCTTGGTTTCTTGATATAAAAGATTAATTTATGAGTTTTTTTTATTACTGTTCATTATCTCCATAGTTTCATACCACAGATTCTTACATTTTCATATTTCGTAAGTTCTGTAGTCGGTACATTGACCTTATCATTAAATACAATAAAGTCAAATGCTAATTGAATGTTTTCATACTAATTGTTAGGCCATTATTTTGATAAACTGAATTGTCGACAGTTGTTCTGTTATTTCTCGATCATGACAAGAAGTACACGGCGGATGTGACCGGTTGGCGGGGGATTCTCTTACTCCTCCATGGCACCTGATTCCTCCTCTTATGTTTAAGAAGTCCATGTTAGCTCTGCTCCTCTTTTCTGATGTTTAATGGATTTCGATATTGAATAATGTTCGTTATCCCTACATATGGCATAGATTTTTTTAAAAAGAATATAGGATTAAGTTCCTCAGAAAGTTTATCTCAACAACATACGTTAAAAATCAAATGATATTTAGAAAGTTTTCTTCTTTTTTATAACAGAGATCAGATTAATAAAAGAGTGAATTAAAATTAAAACCACTGTATATCAGTGGAACCTCGGAACGAAAGATATATAGCACTTATCAATATAATTGAACAGATATTTGTTTAAAAAACTCACTTGTAGTTTTGGCGAAAATATCCTAGACTTTCTTATTAAATGTGCATGCGAAACCTTGAAAATTACAACCCACTGGTTTACTTTGTTCTTCGCCAATATTCTCGTGACAGCTCCAGCATGATATGTTTCATATATATTAACCTCAGTGATCCACACCTTTTCTACAAATTTGACCTGACGATGTACAAAAAATGTTTTTAAAAGAATATCAAATAAAGTACTTTGTTACTTTGATATGTTAAGATAAATTTATAGAATCTAAGAATGAGCTACAAAATCAATTATGAACTTAAGTGTTTAGCATAGAATATATCCCATTGATACTACATGCATGATTATCTCTGTTTTTTTATTCTGATTAACAAACTCAATAACATCTGAATCTTTATTTAATTAATATACATGTATCTTATACCTATTGTTTTACCTGTATAAACTGATGAGCATTCTGCTGTCCCCTTGCCTGTGTCCATGTTCCCGGAATATCACCATAGCGAGGATAAACATTGGGTCTTCCCAAAATCTGTATAGCCGAGTATCTAATCGATAAGAGAATATATTTCGTTATTTAAGATCATTAAAACATAAGAATAATACATGTAATTTTTTTTTAATTATCAAAAAGTAATTTTAATAACAGAATAACTTTAAGGTTTGTTAGGCAGCCTTGAAATGAAGTTACCGAGTGGCGTCGTACTGTGAAGAGAATGCTGTAACTTCTGATGCCCACTGGCGTTTAATAGCTGTAAATATACATACATATATGTATAAAAGAAGGATTTTCAAAACTTTTTCAAATCTTTTTTTGATGTTTCAAAAACCTGCCTAATAGGACCCAATTTTAATGACCCTTTAATAAAAGTTAAAAGGCATTGGTAGAAAAGTCTTACTATTTTCTTCTCAAAACTTTTATTTTATTTAATATTTTATCAATCAATATTGTTTTGGACTTTGTTATACTTTGTGACTTAATAGATGACTTCAAATTATTTCTTGAAATATTTTTTAATTTTTATAATGAAATATACACAGGAAAAATGTCCACATGTGTTAAACATATGTTAAACATGGTTTAACATATATTTTTTACACATGTAAAACACATAAAAGGAGCACACGTGTATAGGGTGTTTATTGTTACACATGTTAAACATATGTTTTACATGTGTTAAACATATGTAAAAATCAACACATGGTATATTTCTACATGTGAAACGTGTGTTAAACACATGTTTTACATATGTTATACTTTATATGTGAATTATACGTGTATAATATTACTGTTGGTGCTTCTTATTATTATGCTTCTTCATTCCTGCCTTTCAAAAAAGTTTCATGGTGATTGAAATATTTTTCTGTAGCAATTGTTAGCTAATGAATAAGCAGGTCTTCCTTGTAGTGGTTGCATGGCTCTTTCTTGAACAGTATACAATGTACAGTATACACAAACTCAGCTCTGCTCATACTTCAGTCTATAATAACTTTCCTTGAATGGATAATATATTGAAATAACAAGTTAATATTGGTTTCAAGTTCTTTATTTCAGGTTAAATTAACATTTCTTTTTATTGTTCTCTTTCCTGCTCCTACAATTTGGAGGAAAAAAAATTTATTACTTAATTTAGAAATTAGAAAGAAAAAAAAAGAAAATAGAGCTTTTGGGTTATACTTATTGCATTTAAAATGTCATGATAAAGTTCTAATAATCAGGCTGTCTTACCTCTCGATATCTCTTAATTCTCTTCTCCTCTTTTTCTTGGAGAAGATCCCAAATATTCTGGCGATCGTCGCCCAGAATAGCGTCATAGAAATCTGAAAAAAAGAATAAAAATGAATTGTGATAATGTAATAATTTTAACTCCTATAGTGCCCCCCCCCCTTCCAAAAAAAGGGGGGGGTAATTTGTACACTAGGTCCCGAGGACATTGCTTCCATATTGATATGACTCATCTGGGCTTTATCCTTCTTCAAAAAAAGTTTCAGGAAGAGATTTGATCCCTTTTCAAAAAAAGTTTTTGGAAGAGATTAATAATTAAATATATTTGACATTTCTAATATTAGCACAGTGGTTCAAGAATTAAGATATGATTTTTAAGAGCTGAATTTTTCTCCAATTCTAATTCATTTCCCCTTGGAAGGGAGTGCAACACTTCATTTAAACAAAGATGCTTTGTTGAAAGTTTGGTTGAAATCGGTCCAGTGTTTATGAAAAGAAATCAAAAGTGTGAAAAGTTCATGACAACTCTACACAAATTTGATTTGACAGAGAAGCTCTTATGAATCTTCATCTTAGATTATATAGTTCATCTTTAACTTTTTTAGCACAAATTGTATTTGAACATTTTGACTGATGTAACAGGAATTAACTTTTTTCTTTATTATTCAAAGTGAATTCATTATACACCCTTACCTTTAAACTCAACCCAGAACTTGCAGGTCTCCTGGAACTTTTTGCTCACTAGGAATGCTCTCTGAAATGTAAAAATTTTTATTTTAATATCTTATAAGTAAATAAAAAAATAAATATCACCATTTGGCATGCCTAAACAAAGAGTGCTATTTAAAATTCCCAGCATAAGCAATGAGTAGTTGAAGAGAAAATTTACAACGAAAATTAAGAATGAACTGCAGACGCATGGACATTGGACACATATTTCCCAAAACTTTGGAGAGGGAGTGTAAAAATATCTCAATAACTCATAATAGATTGATTAACTTAGGTCAAAATCAATCCCTATACAATGTTATTTTATCTATTAATACAATATCAATTTATTTATTATTGAGACTTACAATTGCAACAGCCATCCTCATTCTCTTCTGATCTACAGGACTTTCTCCTGGTGGAGTGAAAGGCCTGTACAAATAGTTGCACAGGCCTTCTAGGGAGAGTGCTTGGATATCCATTGTGGAGTGGAACAGCTACAAATAGTATATAGAATTAAAAAAAAATTATGTAAATAAATTATACTTATTGCATATTTTATATCTATATTTGACTATAAATGGTGGTCAGCCAGGTATCATATGTTCACTAGTGGCCAGTTAGCTTAGCTGGTAGAACACCTGACTGGAGTGTCAGGGGCCCGGGTATGAATCCCAGTCTGGTCCCCTGTATTTTCCCCTCTCCTGTTACATATATATATATATATACATATATATTTATATATTAAAAAAAAAAAAAGAAAAGAACACTGACAAAAATGCTCATAAGATTATAATGTTTAGATTCTAAGTCAAAAAATTAAAATTTATTAATTATTGCAGGCCAACCTTTTCTTTTAAAGAAAGTTGACAAAATTATATCAATGATTTTAATTTATTTACAATTTTATTGTAATAATTCAAGCAGAATTGATAAGATGAGGAATGTTTTTTAAACCACAATTATGCATGTATATTTACAAGAAAATACACCTATTTAAACACAATAAAAACAGTAAAGGTTTAAAGCAAAGTGGATATAATTTTCTTTAAAATACACTTAACAAAACTTCTAAGTGTTCACTTTAATAAATGTCTTTATCTAAAAACTACTTTATAGAATGGTATGATATTTTCAAATTATATCAACAAATGAGTCTTCTAAACAATTGTGGAGAGAAAATTCAATATCACCGATGAAAACCAGTGTTCCGTGACGAAGATTAAAAAGAATAAATTTGTACTTTGCGGTGTGTGTTTTGTGTAATAAGCATCTTTTTGTGATCATTATCAATTTTTAAAAACTGGTTTCAGTAAAAAACACAAAACATTGGTTAAATGACCATTGAGATAGAAGATAGAGCCGTTGGAATGTTGCCATCTTGACCATCTCTGTGCCACGTTTCACTCACTTTTATTTTAGTGCTTAATTTTACTTGATATTACTTTTAAAAATTGTCAAACAGTATCAAAACCCATTTAAACACATTTTTCTATAGGCTGTGATCATTTTTAATCACTAATTTATCACAATTTGAAAGTTTTTGACAAAATTTAACCACACCGGAAGTGACCTTGATCTTCTTCTGATGAGAAAATTTCGTGTCACACCAGATTAAAAGAGTGTTTAAGTGTCCTGAAAAAATGTTAGAAACATGGAAACAAATAATTTCAATCGTAGGGATATGATACGAAATCCGTGCTTAAGACAGTGTTATATCAGCTCAAAGGTCTAAATTATCCTTAAAGCGGCGCGCTAACGTGCTAAAACCCAAGGATAATGACCAAAAGGCATTTGTGTAACGATAAACTGTCAAATTCTCGGATATGAATCCCATTGAACACATTTGGGATTTTAAAAGAAATGTCAAACCCCCCCCCCTTTTTTTCTCACAATTTCAATGGTTTGGAAGGATCTATGCAGTACATGTAGGTGTGGCAGCAGATTGGTCAATCTCCTATTCAGGGGTACATGGTATCCAACAATAAAAAGTTTCTTGTAGTAATTAGAGCGAGTAGTGGGTCTTACACAATCGAGATTTTTTTTGTGTGAATTTTCATTTTGAGGGTACACCATTTTCTTCACACTTTGTTTAAAATTCTGAGGAGATACTTACATGAAATTTACGCAACATCAAACTTAAATATAACTCTTTAACCAAGAATTAAAGAAATTATTTATTCTTCCCATTTGTTCTTTAAAACTTCAAAAATGTTAAGTGAACACTTAGAAGTTTGGTTCAGTGTATACATGTGTTTTAATTGTCCCTGATACTGAATTACTTTCACTTTATAATGAGAGTGTTTTACTTGATAAAAAATATAGTACATGTAGTAATATACATTCAATTTCAGGCAAATAATTGTATTACATTACACATACCATCCTTCTCAGCTGGTTCCGCAGCTGGGTAAATTTGTGAGAAGCGTAGCTGCTCATAACTTTGAATTTATGTGGGTTATGATCCCCAATATACTGCTTCACCTCTCTCTGCACATAAAAGTCATACAGATTATATGTACAATTCTGAACAATTGATAATAATAATCGTATCTTTGATATATATCGCCATGTTAAAAATGCTTTTTTTTTTTTATTTAAATTTATATACATATACCTTGAAATCCTCATTCTTGGTATCTAGCCATGGACATGCACAGTTCGAATTGTCCCTTCAGGAATTGGAAATATGCTTTCTATAAAATTTAACATATACACGTTAAAACTTGATGACATTGCAAATACATACACAGGGTTGCAAGACATTACAGGCAGTTGCCAAGTTCAATTTAACACAATTTAACATTTTTAGTGCTTGTATTAAACTTACATGAAATCTCTGGTCTTCTACCCTAAATTGTGCATCTTTGGTGTCTGGCAGTCTTGTGGAAGTTTTCTTTAGTTCATCTATACTCTCTCTGAGATGTTTAAGTTCTTTTACTACAACAATTTATATCATACAAATATTCTGATCTATATAATTTAATTATGACTGACTTAATCAGTGAATGTAATCACTTTGTGTTCAAATCATAATCAGTCAATCTACTCATAACCATAGAGCAAAGCATCATGAATGTTGTAAAAAATTGACTGAAGTAACATTTGATTGTAAAATTTAAAATTAATTTAGTCCTTATCACTAATGATAATGAAATGGCAAGGAAAATATTTTTAAAAAATATGGCATGCATCAGAAAAATTATTGGATCATTCAGTGGGTACAACTATTATCTTTTTGCATAAATTAACATGATTAATAAGCTCACAGATATCTTTCAGTAGCTTTTCTGATTGGGGGATTAAACCTTGTTGTCCATTTATGGCATTATTGTCGCCAAACAAATCCTGGCTGACTTGCGACATGTCCTCTGTTTCGCTGACATAGGTTTCTTGAGAGTCCTTTTAAAACACATGTTAGAGAGATTGTTACATGTACACAAGAACAAATAATTTAGCATTTAAAACATTTCTCATTAAGACTTCAGACCATTAACTGGCAAAATTGAAAATATACAGCTTACGTAATTTCTATCTGTTACGATCAAAACATTTAGTGATAGACAATGACAATGGCACAATTTATTATGAATATGTTACTATGAAAACTACATGTATAGATGATTAATGATTGATTTGATGTGCTATTATATTGTTGTTTTATTATATTTCAGGGCTATAATAACATTTGTATTACATAAAGTGCTCACTGTGTCGAATAAATAAGACCTGAACCCTGACAGAGGCGTGTTTGTGTTCTTGATTACCACCCCCTGTTACATTAAGGGGCAAATATTTTATTTCTGTTTGATAAATATATGTATTTCTTTGCAAATTTGTTCAACTGTTTTCATTGAGAATAAGAATAAAACTTGTGCACTCTTATCATCCTAGAAATGAAATGCATGTATATTGTCATGTTTAGCCATGACCTGACTCGACAATTGTTTAACCCCCCCCCCCCCCCAACTAGAATCAAATATCTCCTGAAAAAAATCTTTGTCTTCAATGATCTTTCGCATTCTTAAAATTATCGTCGATATAAGCTAAAACTCATGTGAACTTCAGACAATATGTATTCAATAAGTTGATTTTTGGATCATACATGTCATCTCAATCCCTTAATTGTTGTCAAAACATAGCCCAATTTGTAAAAACAACACGGGTGTATCCCTCCAATTAACATTGATATTAGTCATCTAATCAACTATAGTGCAAACACTAAATCATTAATAAATGCAATAGAAGGCAATAGAATCAAATCAAAAATTAATTAAGACTAAATAAACATTGTTCCTGGTTTGAGAAAAATGACACCAGTTCGTAATGGAAAAAATATATGTCACTGAATGTTTTGTCACAGATAGAAATGACGTAAGCTGTATATTCCCAATTTTGCCATTTAATGTATTATATATAAAATCAACATATTACAACTCACATAAATGATCTGGGGCACTTTCGGCATCTTGATGATCTTCGATATTTTTACTTATCGTCTGTCAAAACTCGTCATAGTATGACGTAAGACAAAAACATACAGTGTTTCCGAGCCCGATCTAGTCTTGATGTTCTCGAGTAAAAATGTACTTTCAAATACATTATCTGCCTAAAAACGAATCTATATAAATCAGATTAATTTTTTTACCGTATTTAATCAGAGTTGCGAATAAAAGATCTCATCGTCTACACAAACTTTATGATTGTCGATCACAATTATGATCGGGTACAGAATCTCGTTAGACAGCTTCGCGGGGAAAACAAGATGTACGCCTGCGAGAGCTGCGGCTTCAAATCCACAAAAGAAAGCAACTACATACGCCACTTGTCAACAGGCAAACACATAAAAACATCTCTTTTTCTGAAAGAAGACCGCGACGTAGAACCGCCTGACGGAAATTCTTTTTCGGACGACGAACATCAGGACATTCGTCAAGAACATGGCGATGACAGTTCAGATGGCGAAGACACTCAAGACGGTGATCATGGTGATAAAGAGTCTGGTTTGAAGGAACAGTCACAGGATGATAATCCATTTTTTCCATTTAATAATAAGTTGCACATGCTTTTGTATGTGCTAAAGAACTCCCCCACACATTCCGTGGTAAGTCATAACAGGGACTTGTAAACTTTGTGCCTGGTCATCTAGTGATTTTACCAGACCTGGTCATAAGTAATAAAATTTTGAATTGTTAAGTATCCTAAATAAACACTTCTTAATCAATGCTCATATTAAAAAAAAATGTTATTCATTTTAGAATGCACATTTTCTAGTAATCCGAGATTCATCTGAATCTAATCTTGTCTTATTCCTGATTTTTATTTTGTACGTGACATGTGCAAATGTCAGCAAGGATTACAGTCAGAGGAATCTCAGATTCTAGCTGTTTATGATTACAAAAGCATGATTGATCAGATGTACACCATGATATCTTTTGTTTTTGTATATTGAATTTCATTACGCACAATGTAAAATTCAATCCAAAATTTAACAGTATTGTGAAAAATCTGTAAAAATGACTTAATGCATCTAAGTGATAATGCAGATATTCATAAAGTAATTAAAAAGTTTAGCAGTGTTTAAACTTACAAGACTTGTAGGTCTAAATGTAAACAATTTCACAATTGAATCCCGATCTCAATCAGATAAAATTAATCAGAGTCAGACACTCTGCTCAGCTGTTATTTTGACCTATGGGAATTGTTAGCAACCTATTTACTGTAGAAGTACATTGATCTTTATTCTGTGTGGTATTACTATTAATTTACGCTATGTACGTACTCACAATTTTTCTGTGGAAATTTGTCCAACTATACTTAATATAAATGTATGGCATATATAGTGACAATCTAGAAAATCCGTGTAATATTCTACCCGTGGATTAACACGCTTCCCCGCAGTCACACATTTTAACGCATTTTACCTTTTCCTATTTCTAACGCAAAATCACACATTTACCGTTTCCCCGCAATCATGCATTTTCACGCACTTTAAAAAGTTCATTTAATCTTCAGTTTTTTGCCAAATTCCAACTATTTCATACTTGCTTGAATCTCATGAAATAAAAAAAGTTATTTTCAAATTAAAATATTATTTCAGAATATTATTTATGCTTAAGGTCAAGATCTAGTAAATGAAAGGTGCCTACAGATTTATGAAACTTGAGAAATAAATTCTTTTATTGATGTTTTACAACTTTAGCTTGGTCAAATAAGGTGTTTCAGGGCTTAATTTGTAGGTAAACAAGATGAAAAACTTTATTTTAAACTGTCATACCCCCAAACTATGCTAAATAAATTATTTTCCACCGAGAAACTGGATAATAAACAAGTTTCATTTTTCATTTTTTTTCAAATTTTGGAAGACTTTTGATTCAATTCTAAATGATTTTAATGACAGTACAGCTAGGGGGCTCTTATTTTCTGACAATCAAAGAAGACCTAAGGGGTGCTTATAGGGGCAGGGGCGGTTAATAGGGATTATACGGTATTTTGTACATGACTACTGATTATTTATTGTGCTATTAAAATCACAAACATTGCATCTAAGATGTAAATGTTCATATCTTTTTTTATTGCTTTCCTTTCAGAGCAATGAAGTTGTGAAATTTGTAATTTACATTTTAAAAGAGGCTGGAGTGAAAGAAATACCAACAATGCATGATCTGGAGGAAACAAGGTTTGGAGATTTGAATTGGAGGAATTTAGTACAGGAGGTATGTGGCTAAGTCAGCTAGATGAGTGAAAATCTTATATTTCCTGTTTCTGTTTTGCATAAAAAAAATACCGGTATTGTTGCAGAATGAAGCCAATGATGGTACCACTTTTTGGAGTCTGAAGCCATCGGAAATCTTAAAACTTTTCCTTGCAAATCCAAAATATGCAAAAGATGTTATTAGGTGAGTAATGAAGTCTTTTAAATGGCATTCTGTTCTCAAATGTTTTTCTTTTGTACTTTCTTTTTAATATTAAGGTATAATTATTTCAAATCCCAGCATGTATTTTCAAAGCTGCTGTACAAAAAATAAAAATCTTTTGCCTACCTAACTATCGACACAACTTGAGAATTTCAGGTCAAGTTCGAGGGAAACCAGCATATTTTTAATGATGGTCTCACCATTTTTCACTCATCAAAAACTATCTGTGTACATTGCGGTAACATTGATAACTATTTCTGGAAACAAAGGCAGAAATGTGATATTCTTTTTTTTTTTCAGGTCCACCACTTTGCATGGTCATGATAAATCATTATATAAAATTTTCATCTAAACTGGATTATTTATGTCGTACAAATCTGTACATAGTAACAGACACTGTAACTGTTTAATTTGAAAGTTGAAATTTTTATATTTAAAGGTTACCAACTAATCAGAATAATCATCCCTCTGGAGCTGAGAAATGGAGGAAGGACATCACATTTCACCACTTGCGAATTGATGATGTGTCTTTATTTACTGGTAAAATGTATACCTACAGGGACAACAACACTGGTGAAGAGCAGCATGGAATGTTGAAAAGCTTCATAGATGAGGTACGTCCATGTATTTAGTTACTATACAGAAATCAATTAATTCTTATTCACAAATGATATAAGTAAGCCTCCAGAATACTGCTTCTAACATCTGAGTAATCATACCATTTTTATTAAAATGTGTCATATTTTAATAGAAAGATGTTATCAAGGGAGTTATACAGCCATATGTGATAAACAGAGAAAACAATGCCTCTCCTCAAAGGTTTGTTTAATTAGACAAAATATAATTTAAATAAAATATAATTTAATTTTGTTTATTTTCTAGTCTCTCATTGGTTGATTTCCAAAAAGGAACACAGAATAAAACATAATAACCTGGTTTGGATATGGGGACACATCCCCTTGACAACCAGCTGATTCATCTGTATCTATGCAATCCCACATTTCCAGTCCATGGAATTACATGGAAAATTCCACATTTAATAAATGCACCTTTAACTTCAAACAGCAGCTCACTCTTACCTCGTGTAAACAAACATCATGGCTGCTAGATCGGTACATCAGTTATTACGTCCCCTTGTTTTCAAATCCCTTCTGTTACTTGGGATGTATTATTGAGCAACAAATTTGAACTCATAAAAAGCAGTACAATTTTACATCCACAGTTGTTTAATTATTTAAAAATTAAATTATTAGGAATGACTCTAATTCTTGGCCAAATTATTCAGTTAATTCCTGGTTTTGGTCAGTTTACTGACCCAAACCAGGTTATAATTGAGTAATTTGGCCAAGAATTAGTCATAAGAGTCATTCCTAAAATGAACATGTGAGTGGAATTTTTTTGTGAGACTTACAATTATCAATTTGTCCCTTAAAATCAGCATTTAATTTTTGAAACTTCATATGAAGAGAAAAGTAAACCTTAAATAGTATGAAATAATATTTGACTGTACATTGAAATTAAAATTTTGTGATTTCAACGCCTTGATTAATTTTCAAATTGAATCCATGCTATAATTTCCGCTTCTATGGTACATGTACATGTATATAGAATCAGAATGTCTAGAACCAGGTTTATTCTGGAAGTGATTTTCAATAAAGTTTTTCTTTCCTTTTATTAGGGATGTGAATGATATCAGGCCTAGTGAAGAGACAATAGAAGTTGATGTCAAACACCTTAGAGAATGTACAGAGCAAGTATGATCATTATTTGTGATAAGACCTACACAAGCAGTATTTTATTTTGTTATAAAATCCTAGTAGATGTTGACATGTTAGCATGTAATATTTAAATTTGTTCAACTGCATTTAAGCTGGATAAGTAACACAGTTTAATTTTGCATATAGGCCTTTTGCCAGCATGAAAATTTGTCTCCATTTGTTGAGAGCCTATCGCCAGTTTGGACCTTACCAGTTAATATTTTTATCGATGACACCTCGGCAAACAGAAGCAAACGATGGCTTGGCCTACATTGCATCCAGATGCAACCTACAGGTACAGTTATGTTATTGGAGTAATAACATTTTGTGCTACTTCACTCCTTCATTAGGTCCCCCCCCTCCAAAAAAAAAAAAATAAATAAAAAATTGAAAATAAAAAAATTATAATCTGTAAAACTTTTTTATTTCAATTTGAAAATTCTACAAGAAAGTTCATTTTATTTTTTAATTTTACCTGGTATTTAATTTAAAGTAAAGTGTGTGCAATAAATGTCTTATTCCTCCTCCCCCTTTAAAACTTGAAGATAAATTCAATTAGTCTTTGAACTTAACAGCATTTCAAACATTCTGTTCAAATTTATTAATGAATATAAGTACAAAATATGTTGCAATATATTCAAAGTAAAATATTGCAATATATCGCAACACTCGCACTACCCAACTCTACAACAAAACTAAATTGGCCCTGTCAAATGTTGATTCCGTGATAAGCAGCATATCAAAATGTATCAAAATGTATAAATATCTTATTGTTTTATATTTGAGTACATTTACACAACAGAACTCTTTCAAAGAACGATAGACTTGCTGTTTATCTTAATCTCAGTTTGCTTTCTTTTAAAATAGGATTAAAGCTTCCTCTTCGACAACAACATGATACAATTTCCCTTTTATGTGCTTCTGAAAAAGTGGAGCCCATGACTTTGATGAAACCTGTCATCTCGGATATACAATCATGTAAAAGGTATTTGATACATTTAATGCATGATTATGTTTCAAAATAACTTAAAATATTGAAAAAAAAATATGACTCAAGATCTTGAAATGAATTGGACAAGAGGATCAATGAACAGTATACATCAAAAAATGAATGGTTGGTAGTATAATGGGTATTTACTGAATGAAGTATATGTACTTATTTTTTTAGGGATGGCATTTCTGGTTTTGATGCTTATAGAAAGGAAGAATGCATTATAACGACAGACTTAAACATAATTGTCGCAGATTTTAACATGCAGTCTTATCTCTGCAATCATCTTGGAGCCTGTGCTACAAAATATTGTCCACGCTGTTATGTAAGCCTGTCAAACATTTTTTTTTAATTTTTTTTTAATTTTTATATGTTAAGCAAAAATTAAAAGTAACTTCATGAGAAATGATTAATTTCATGCTGATTTAATTAATGCATTGTTTAGTTTCACTGACGCATACTTTCACCAGTTTATAACACTTTGACTATTCATTCGGATATTTTATATATATAGATATCAAATAATCATTTGAAATAAATTAATGATACATAATAATTTGTGTTTAGGCGGATGTAGACCATGCCACAAGTAAAGCCAGAGAGAGGACTCCATCAAAGACGTTAACCACAATTAACAGAATCAATATGAGAAGTATGGAGGCAGACAAACGGAAACTAAGACAACAAACTGGTGTCAAAGAATATGAAAATCCATTGTGGGACATAATTAATCCACACAGGTATTTAGATGAAACTTAAATCTATTAAATACTTCCTCCAATGGACCCTTTTTCTGTGACATATTTTGCCTAGGAGTTATTCCCTTAACTGCCATATTGTAGGACAACATTCCCAGATACCTTCATTATTCAACAAAGTTTAATTTCTTATACTGGTTACTGAGGTAAATATAGCACTATTTTTCTTATGAATACACATTTTTTATAGCCTCTATTAATTCATGATTATAAGATTTCAAATATTTTCCCTCATATTTTTCTTGAATGCATGTTTAAAAGAGATATATTCACTGCTTTGCCTTACAAGATGGTGGCTAAAGGGGAATAACTCCTAAGCAAAACATGTCAGGAAAATGGTAAATATGTGGATGTAAACATGTTCCTGCTGGAACACCTCAAATAAGGTGCCATGCCTTCATTTTAGGGGAGATAATGAAGTGAAAATTTGGTATTCAAATTTGTTCAAATCATGACCCCCAGCTAGCTACCAGGGAAAGAAGTGGGGCCTCAATGATTGAACATAGTTTTGCATAGGAATATATACCAGTTCCTCCAAAAATGACCCAAATTGTTTTGCCAATCTTTTTTACACAACTTAACATAGGATTACTCGGTTTTGTCTGATCAATGCCAGTTTCTCACAGTGAGTCATGTGATTGTTCAACAAGAGATGATTACTAAAATATCAGATCCCACTTGAAATACTAGTATATATTATGCCCTGTTTGCATTTTTTTTTGTTTGATAGATTTATGAGATTGAACATTGTTATTTTAAATTGATCATCTTTTTCATTTAGGGATATACCAGTGGGTTTCCTCCATCTGATGCCATTAGGCCTTACTAAACACTTGGTGAAGTGTTTAAAGCCATCATTATCAGACAGAGAAAGTTGAGAAGCTGCAAGCTCACCTGTCTTCACTGACAAAGCTTTCTTTTGCTAACAAATTTTTTGCTTCTTTTGGACAGTCGCCAAGGCAAGGACTTCAAGCAATATGTAAGAGTTTTATAAGAAAAGAAATTTAAGTGTATAAGATATTTACCAGAGGGTGTCATTCATTTATTATTTTGTTCTTGTTTGTTTTAGCTACAATTTGCTCCCATCAATTTTGCCTATGTTGGTATTCCTCGTCAGTTTCTAAAAATGCTGAACACGCTTGCACAGGTAAAAAATAAATCTATTCATGATGCATTAACTAATATACATTGCATCTATTGGATATCATTATTATTTACCAATATTATTTGAAAGCAAGTATATATTTATTCTCTTCATTATGCATGTCACAATAGATACAACAAGTCCTACAGAAAGACCAGTTTACAGAGTCTGACATTGAGGAGGCTGAACATCTTATCAGCAAGTACCTTAACCAAGTTGAGACCCATATACCAGATTTGAAAAGGAAAGCAAAGACTCACCTCCTTTGTCATATGGTAAGTAATTCTCTACTACAACAGCACCCTTTTGATTATGTTCAAACAATTAAAATAATCATGGAGAATGACTTACGGCATTGGTGAATATATTATTCTATTTCATTTTTCAACACTGCGAAAGCAAACCATCTTAAGTAAAGATTTGAATGTATTTAACTTTAGTTCATATGCATTTCCAGTTTTCTTTGAGGCAATTTTGAGCAAGGCCTTGTAGTTTTAGTTCTAAAACTGTGAATTTTTAATGACATGTTTTGTTATGATTTTCCAGGTAGATGACATCAAGAGGCATGGTCCTCCAAAAGGTTTCACTGAGGATGGCTTTGAGAAAAACCATGCTTCCATTCGGAATGACATTTTCCACCAGAACCAAAAACAGAGGAGTAGAGATACTGCCATATCCTTCTCCCACATGACATTGCTGAACCATATAATTTCTGGTGGATATTTTCCACAGAACAATGATTGGTAAATATATATTTATAAAATCAGAGTCACAAAACAACACATTTATTAACTGGACCCCTATCCTTCCATCTGTCATTGAGAGACATCAATCAAATTGAAGCTTTCATAAGTAGACTTGTAAAGTACAATATCATTTACAACCAATATACTGGTAGGTATAAAAGAAAATCACCATTCAAGTTTCCATATTTTTGTTTTTATTATCTGTCCTTAAAGGAGGTACACCTTCATAAATATCTCTTGTCAGAGATCTTTGTAGCAGAATTCTAACATTTCTGTTTGGAAAAGTTAAAATTAATGAACAATAGTGAATTATTGAAAGTCAAACAATTGAGAAAAATATTGTTTATTTAGGGTGTGTTCAGGACATGGAGCAAAAGACTTGGGTCTACAACGGGAGGTCCTGCAGTATGGGGGTAGATCCTTACCAGAGGAGGAAGGTGCAGTGGTCAGGAGTTTCAGAGGAAGCTGAATGGTAAAGCCCTTCCAACCCTACTCAAGAATCCACTCTTCTTCAACTCTGTACAGATTTGGATGTACCCTACATTCCTCCAGAGGAAGCCTGCATTGGACATTGGCAGTGCCATTAAGGCACAGAGGAATGAGTTGGCCAATGTTGGTGATGCTTTAAAGTATTATTCAGCAGAAAGTGAGGTAATTCACTTTGTGATTGAAAGTGATGACAACTAAATAATCATAAAATTATATTATATTCAATTGAGCTTGTCATTTATATAAGGATTAAATTTAATAGTCATGCAAGTGATTCTGTGTAAGCTGGGTGATGACATTTCATGCTTTACAATTAATCCATCTGAATTATCGTGGGTAAAAACTCATTACTTTGAGAATTGAGAGATTTTTTGATAGCACTTTCAATTAGCCCATGCCTGATTCTCAGAACCTGGGGATGGAGTACCTAACTTGATTACCATAATTGTACCAACATAGATTTTCTTTATGTTTACAGTCCATGGTTGGAATTTTTAAAGAAGCACTAGTTGTGAAGAAAAAAAGAAGTGCAGAGATCATATATGCCGTAAAAATTCAGATTTTAGAGAAAGTTGGTCGTTCCCAAGAAACAGGATGTCCACTTTTACAACTCAAGGACAGACATATTTATAAGCATCCTTGTAAAATTATTCAGTTGGAAGAGGTTTTCCACAACTGCAAAGATACTAAGTGTCCTGTACAAAAAGACAACATCAGTAACACAATGTTTGTCAAACACAGAGATTTCAACTCCTACATTTTAAATAGATTTAGGTTGTAAAACTCTTATTCATTTAAGAAGGCCTTCACAGGATTTGATCATGTGACTGACCCACTTCAATTCCCATTGAAGTTTATAAGCTTGTTATTTATTACTTATATATACATTTGAGACAGACAATTGAATATTTTTGAATTTAATTATTGCACTAACCGTCCGTATTAGATTTTGAAAAATGACGCAAGGTGTAAATCGGCTTGCATGGCGGTTACGGTCATTTTTTTAATTCATGTACCGGTAGATATTATTGCACCGTGTGATTAGGTCAAGTATTGACCTCTGACAAACTTCATACAGAATTGAATATATTTTTTTTCTGCATGTTCATGAGAGCTACCACAAATGTATATATATGGAGTTAATTTTCTCAAATGAGTGATAATAGAAATTTACCTCAAAGAGTTGTTCATTTGGGGTCTTGGCATGCTTACATCATGTTTCCTATTCTTAATGAATGTTTTGATGTTTCAGACTTGTAAAGGCTATGTTCTTGAATATTTTTTGAATTTATTCTTTATGAACAATGGGACATAACATTAGTAGAAGTCAAATATAAGTATTTAAACTTTGAAAAGTGTTTTCATTTTCTTTTCATAATGTAAAAGGAGAATCATTCAGAGAAAGAATTTCTATCTTTCACTAGATTATGGTTATTTGAATTTTCTAATTTATTAATTCTATATAGGGATTACAAACGAAAAAAAGGAAGAAAGAAATAGCTAAATACTAGTATGACTGGAATATATATATATATATATATATATATATATATATATATATATATATATATATATATATATATATATATAGTTTTGTGCCATGCGGATTGTGGGTTATTTTGCGTCTTTTTCACTCACGTTGTGGGTACCTTGTATGGTTTATGGGTCATTATATATTGACCCCCAAACCATGTGCCTAAAATTTTGTTTATGACAATAAAATAGTAAGTATATTCATTTTTTACAAAAAAAAAATTTTTTACCCATAATTACACAATCAAA